GAAGCCCTAGGATGAAGTCAGACACTGAAGAGAAATGGAGTCATCACGCTGCCATTGTGCCAATGAAAGCAACACATCATTGTTACAAGACCAAACATGACAGATCTGTCCGGCTGATCTGTCCAGGTCTGTAAGTGTGTTAGAATCTGCCTTTTGTAGCATCACAGCACTCATGACTCATCCTGTAGAACAATGTGACAGGTGGGTGGAATCTCTTTTACAGTGTTTCCAAGAGGAATAGGTGGCGTGTCCGTATCTCACTTTTAACAGGCATTATTTCTCCACCCAAATATTAAGAGCAGGAGCAAGCAAAACAATTGCTGCTGTATTTTTTTTTTTTTTGTACTAAGTAGTCCCTTATGACTATGGACGTGAGGATGTGCAGACATCCCAAAGATTGATTTTCCTGTCTTCTGGCTGAAGCAGATCCTGAAATTATATGATTACATGGACTTATAATATTGGCACTCATACTGCATGCACATGGATTGGTTTTCCATAAATTACCTCTTAAAGAAGAGCCTGTAGGACTAAATGTACACATGAGGTTACAAAAATTTTCCAGAAAGGAAAAGCAGAAAGAATGCCAGAGAAAAGAAAGAACTCTTTCGGTATTACAGGGAACTACAGAGGGCTGATACCAAAGCAGGGTATATGTGTGCCAGATTCCCCTGCAATATAGAATAAGAGATTCTTCAGGGTAGCAAATGACACTCTTGGAAGTTACCTAGATGTGGTATGTCACAAGAAAGGGGCAGATGACCTCAGGAGTCTGAAGCTCTGTCCTCAGTTTCTGACCAGAGTAAAGTTTCCATGTTAAATAACATAACAACCATGCATTATGACCTGGGTGATTTCCTTTTGTTTTTGTAAGTTATACCTGAACTTGCAGCTAGCTACAAGGACTTGACATGAATTGATAAGATAGTAAAATGCTACGCCTTTAAAGAATGATGTTATTGGCTTAATGTTGTGACCTTGAAAAATCTTAAAGATGTGTGTGTGTGTGTGTGTGTGTGTGTGTGTGTGTGTGTGTTAGGTCTTCAAGTGTAAACTGGTAGTAAAAATCAAGAGACTAGGACAAAAAGGGATTAAGAAGAGCCTAGGGCAAACTTGGTAGCAAACTTGGTCTTATGATTTGTCACCTGACGAGATGGAGAACATTGTTGCAAAATAAAAAATAAAAGAGGATAGGTGTAGCTCAGTGGTTGAGCACTTGTGGCTTAATCCCCTTACCCCTTCCCACACAAAAGAATTCAATCATTAGCCAACATTGATTGGAGCCAAGAAGTGAACAGGAATGAGAGGGGTATCTAGATAGTAGCGAATATGAAAGTCAGCTGACAGCAGCCCTTTGGCTCCAGGAAAGGTTGTCCAATTCATAGCACAACTTCAAGGAGTGGAGTGATCAAAGAGTGAGGGTTAGATTCCCTTACATGACAAACCCAGCAAAATCTAGGGAAGATATCAGGTTCTTACCTAAGTGGGCTGGGATCCATCACAGGGGTTTAATTCTCGCACAGGATTTAGAATCCAACCCAGGAACTGAAGCAGAAAACAGAATCCTACAGATTAACAGAACCACAGATGGAACGAAAAGGCTGAATCTCAGCAAGCTCAAGGCTGAGGCTTGGCTGAACTCGTTGCCAAATCACAAGTTACCTGACTTGGTAACACAGAAACAACTGCAGATACTTCCAGCAGAAAATATTTTATGCAGGGAGTTGAAGGCTTACAAAACCTTGGAATGCTACAGAAGCAAAGGTCAGGCAGAACTGCTTTTAGAACTCAGGAAATCTTACTAGCAGATATGATTTGTCAATTAACAATTTAAAAAAATAAAAGAATTTAGGAATCAGGCAGTTCACAGTTTACAGAAAACAACCAGTAATCTCAAGCTTTTCCAGCAGTAGAGGTCAGCTGCAGGAGTCCTGACAGTGGCGGCTGCATCACACCTAAGCCATTTGCAAGAGCCTCCAACCTGCTTGCTGCTGCTATAAGAACAACCCGCTGTCTACTCTTCTACCTCTCATTCCCACTGGAGAGCTTTGTTATTGGCAGAATCTAAGCAGCAAACTTCTGGTAAAGCTTCTGGGAAATATAGTTTCCAGATCTTGCAGCTCCCGTGAGTTAGGAAGAACACAAGAAAAGGGGAAAGAAAAAAAATTGGCATAAGGACTAAGTGAAAAATACCAGTAGTATCCTAATTTTAGGTGGAAATGTGATTCCCAAATGATTCCCTGGAATGGGTCAGACTGAAATAGACATGTGGCGAGGTGGAGTCTGAGTGAGAAGAGTGCTGCAGAAACAGAGCCCAAGAGATAGATTCCCTGGAGGCAGCAGAGTGCCTTAAAAGTGCTTAGGTGGACTGAAGACTGTATAAGCCCGTCAGGGAAAGATGAGCCAGGAAGAGAGACGTGGCAAGTTTAGTGTTACAATCTCTGAGAACAACGTGGTCCAGTGTGTGTTTTAGAACTTTCACTGGAATGTGGAGTATAAATGCAAGGTAGGAACCGCAGTTAACTAGGGGGAAAGCAAGCTAGCAAAAGGATTTTCCTATAACTTCAATTGATAATTATTGCAAATGTGAAAGAAATAAAACATTCTTTCAGACTAGGCAAAAATTAAAATAGCCTCTATTAGGGCAACAGGGTTAGAACTGGAAAGAAAAGGGCAAAAATGTGGAAGGAAGTTGAAAAAGACACTGACAGGTCTTGACAACTAAATGGATAGCAGACAGAGAGAAGAAGCCAAATAGGATTCTCCCATTTGGGGCCTGGGTAACCATGTGAATGGTACTACTGACTGAGATATGGAGCACAGAATGAAAATTGAACTCGAGCAGCTTTGTTTGGGGCTTATTCAGTGTGAAATTCATCAAGATACCTAACTGGAGTAGTCCAGCAAAGATGGGGATGCTGGTCAGGTTGGCCTTCCCCATTCCCGCTAGACATACGAGATAGGTCTCACTTGCAAATGGAACTAACAGTACCTGTGTGATTTTGAAGGCATTTAGAAAAACCATCCATCTCAAAATAAAATAAGAGAAAATGGTGCTCTGAGTCTTGTTCTCTAACTGTTCGATGTTTGAAATCCAACTATTAGTACCTCATACAGTTAGCCCAAAGCCTTTAGATTTTTTCACTGTATAGCTTCCATCAGAGTGGGATACTGGGGCTGCTGTCCTCCTCTACTCAGCCTAAAGACAGTCCAGGGACTTAGTTGCTTCTGCTCTCAGGGCTCAGAGTATGGCCATGAAGAGTCAAAACTAGAAGAATCTTTGGGTCCTATACCAAGTGGCTCTGGCCAGAGACATGAGTGCTCCTGGATTAGCAGAAACTTCCTGTGACTTGAGTCTTCTGTCTGCATGGACTTCCTTATTATTTTATATTTTTTGTTTTATGTCTTTATTAATAACTTGATTATTGAGACTTTAAGTTCTAAGCTTATTCCTTCCATCAAAATGAGAGGAATTTATTGGTTAAAATCATGAGTCCATTAAGATTGAATGGTGTGTCTCCATTAAACCATGATTTGCATCGTAAAACAGATTAATAAAAATGGAAGCACTCTGTTGGAGAGGAAGTATATAAAAGAATCTTGTAGGGCTATTTGAATGCACACAAAAATAAGACTGTTCCAAGCACAGAGAGAGAAAACAAGAGACAGAGAAAGGTATTGATAGAGAAAAAAAACAGGACTCAGACCTGCAGCCAGTTAAGTGGGGTGACTCATAGCTCTCAGTTTTTGGTAGACAGCTGAAGCCAGAGAACATTCAGAGCTGTAGACAAACACTTAAATTAGGCCTCCTGGTGGAGCAAGGGCTCCCACCACAACGGAGAGTCCTGTAGTGTGTATGAGGTCATTATTAGTATGCTGGTGAATAGAGCTCCTGAAAGCCCTGCCCAGCTGAAAACATGGGTTTACAAGTGGTTCCACGTGGATGAAAATATTTCTCATTGCAATCTGTTCCAAAGAATTCAAGAAAACAATCATTTATCAAGAGCGACATCATATAGTCATATGCAGAACTCTGAGTTGTTTTAAGTCATCAAAGAACGGGTGGAAGGGGGATGGAACATGAAGCTGTGATTTCTAGAGTTCTCTACAGCTCTAGGATAGGGTGGCACCTAAACCCCCACCCCCAGCCTCCCAATCAAACTGACACTGCTTTTATCCAGTTCATTTCTTTAAGTAAACATGAAGACGTTCGGCCACAAAAGAGTTTGGAAACCAGTTTGGAACCTGGTTGAAAAGGCTGGTATGGAATGAGATATTGGATGGAAACAAGACACAGAAAAGAACATGAAAGCAGTGAGCAGTCATATCCCCCAAGAAGGTGTCATTTTGATAGTGTGTGCTCAGGCCAGCTTATACCAGCTCACAGGGACCAAGTGCGCCCCCTGTTCAGTTCAGTGACTTCACACTGGGAGTTTGAAAGTGACCACAGTGGGAATATTTACACCTCTGAAATTGGCAAATTTTACAGATTGGATTTTTTTTATTCCTTGCTTTCCTCTGTCTGTCTCCTCTCTCTCTCTCTCTCTCTCTCTCTCTCTCTCTCTCTCTCTCTCTCTCTCTCTTTCTTTTTGTCCACTTGAAAGCCTGCTATCAAATATTTCTTATAAAACCTTGGAAATTCATCTAATGATAATTTTGCCAACAAAATAGCCAAAGCCCTTAGGAGATCTGACCAATGACCTTCTGCAGACTCAAGTTAGGGACTGAGGGATTTAGAAAGAGGGAAGGAGTTCTGGAAAACACATCTTTGTTATGTAGTCATAAAAGTGGTCACAGAAGAGGGACTGGAGGGCTGATACACAGAGGACTGAGTGGTAGGTGTCCCGCATTCTGTGGGGACCTTTCTCTTTCGACCAAGGACTTCAAATAAGGGGAGAAGGTGGGAAAGCCAAGGAAGCTGGAGCTCAAGGGACTAGTTTACAGGGCATTCCAACAACTACTCTCTGCTTCCCAGGAGTTCAGACAGAACAAAATTGGGCTTTAAGAATTTATTCCTTACTCCCCACCTTGAGACTTTCCCAGAGCAACCAATAAACCCCAGGCTGAGGAGCTGAGTGATGTGTCAGAAGTTCTTTGGGTGACAGTGTCCGCCTCCATGTCTGAGGCTCCTGCTCGGCCAAGGCCAAGACCAGGAAGTCTCTTCAGCTCCTTCCCTGGGCTTTAGGAGTGCTCTGAGGAGCCATGCTCTTCATGCTGAAGTGGCTTCCAGCAGGAGGGAGAAAGAGAAGAAACTGTCAGACACAGAGGAAGAAGGCCCTGGAAGACAAGGGAAGAAAGTTTCATTCCACTTAGCAAGGGAAGTTGATTTGTTTGGAGGAATCCACCGAGGACAGCCCTGCTTCTGCCTGAAAAGCCCTCTAAGTCCCTTTAAGCCACATGTGTTTAAATGTAGGGTATCCGCTCAGAGGATCGGTACACAGCACCATGAAGCCAGGGAGCACATTTCCTATTTTAACCAGCTGCCTGACAACGCTAAGTCATTGTCACAGGGCAGTCAAGCATGAAAGTGCGAGTGACAGTGCTTGTTCGGCTCAATCCTGCAGCCCAGGCTCAAAGGGAGCACCTTTCCTGCTGAAGGCTGAGGGGCTGGAAAGTCTTTGTGGAGGGTAGCACCCTCCGCTGATGGCTTCATCTGGAATAGGGAATTTTCTTCCTTGGGAAACACTGACTTAGTCACATATGTAGGAAAAGATTTGGAGTACACAAGGGCAGGTTTAAGATGGAATATTCAAAATAGCAAGCAAGGAGTATAACAGGAATAGGGACCAATGAGCACAGCTGCTGGGCTCAGGGCTGGGGTGGGCTCCTGGAGACCTGCTGTTGGGCTGGCTTTAACCACTTAGATTCTGGACTGTGGGGCCCCCTGCCCCAGGGTCCTGCAGGTGGTACCTCTGCGGCTGGGAGGCAGGAGGACACTCTGGGAAAAGCGCCCATCAAGAAACGCTGTGATGTCTTCACCAGCAGTCAAGCCTTGCCTGTGCTCCTTGCCCCTGGACCATCCCGGTCCCATGAGTCAAAGGGAGAGTCACATCCACTTCCTGCCCAGTTCGTTTGTGTTGTTGATAATCAGGTGCCTGAACTCGTGAGCTGCGGGCTGAAGAACAGGAGTCTGGGTTTGCATTTCTCAAATCCATGTTAAATTTCAAGTAGGCTCTTTATTATCATTTCTCTCTGCATCCTTTCCATTTTTCAAGTGTGCCCTTTGATGTCATTCTGATGACGTCTATTTATTATCTTCCCCAAACCTGCTATGACACGAGTACTTTTAGTCACAATACTGATTCACACTCAGTGCTCTATGTTTAGCAACTCTCCAAGAAGCATCTGAGTCTGCATTTAGCCCTAAATAGCTACAAATATCGGAGTAGCAGCAACATCCTTTCAAAAGCCTTTTTAGGAAGTGTCGCGCCAGGGGTGGCATGACATGCCAGGAGCCACAGGTGTGGGCAGCCATAGCAGAGCAGGGAACACAGGCGGTAACTGATGAAAGAAATCCAGTTGCGTACCTTAGAGCAGTTCCCCCTGCTTGAGATGGGTTGTAAGGAAACATTTCAGCATGTTTATCTGTCTGCCCGGCCCTATTTAGTGAAAAATGATTGCTCTTTGCTTCTTGTTACCATGCTCAAGTGATACTATGGCAACCGGGCTACATAAAAGGGGAAGGAGGGGGCAGATGCTGCTTAGCAACTTGAAGATTTTTAAAAGGCAAGTACTCATTTTAACAGCAACGGTTTTTAACATGCCAGTTTTGAGGAGAAAAAAAGAGAGGAATATTAAAGAAAGAAAGTGAGAAGGACAGAGTACAGCAATGGGATAGAGAGAGAGAGACAGAGAGAGAGAGAGAGAGAGAGAGAGAGAGAGAGAAATCTGCATGGCACTGTTTCAGAACTTTCATGGGGATCTGGCTGGGTCTTTGTCCTCTGGTGGCAAAACTGAGCCTCACAGGAGTCACTGATGTTGGTCACTGACCAGGGTTGGTCAGCTAGTTGGGGACAAGGCTGGGCTGTCTCCATGCAGCTGTCTTGATCCCAAATCCTGCATTCTTTGTATGGGACCACCGCTCAGATAATTGTCACCTGGAAATCTGAGAAAGAGGGGGAAAAAAACACGAAACTGTCAACAAGGTGAGGAAAGATGAACACCTGTCTGTCAGGCAGAAGCATAACCAGAAGAGTAAAACTGCATTTGCAAGAGTTTCCACAATTAAGTCCAAATTGATAGGTGCTTGCATATAAATTATTCATTCATTCATTTTATGGCAAAGAAGAGAGGGCGAGCAGTGTGAAGGCCAGCATCCCGCACATGAGCTAGCGGTGGCCTGTGTCTGGAACACTTGGTGTTTGGGGGATTCTCGGATTCTGGAAGGATCCAGTGTAGAGGAGGGAACGGGGAGGAAAGGTATAGAGGGGGAAGAAAGGGGAAAAGTCTTAGCCTGGCCTAGGAAGAAGCTATCTGAGTAAGGCAAATGTGCCTCAAGACACACGACCCTGTCACCTCAACCACGGCTGTGTAGGCAGAGACGGCCCAGGTCCCAGACCCCGGGAAGTCTCTCCAGCTTCTCTGCCATCCCACCCCACTCCCAAAACACAGTGCGACGCGGCTTTAAAAACACAGCTCAAACGTAGAGTGACTGCAGGGCTGAGCTTCCTTGGATGCCTATCGACAGGCAACAGTGAAAGAAGAAGAAAGCCTGCGATGTCAGGCTAAAGTCCCGGCTCTGAGGCACAGGCTTGCTAGAACAGGTTGCTGTCCATTCTGCACTTTCCTCCCTTACCCCGGTACTTAAGACATTCAGATCAGACCCGAGGTCTCCAGGACAGCGGCTCTGTCCCGAGCCAGGTGGAGGATCTGTCTGCAAGGCAAGTGGGTTGGACCTGCCTGCTCTTCAGCCACTCCTCTCACAGCCACTGTGGAGGGCAACCATATGCCAGACACTGAGCAGGGCCCCCACGCCGGGCTGGTCTCCTGCTGTCCTGTTTTCCCTCCCTGGCTCAGAGAGAACTGCGCAGGGCCCGGGCTTCAGGCTTTGTGGTCCTGGAGAGGCCGAATCTTTTTCCTGGTTAATAACAGGGTGTTGATGAGACAAGTGCTGCTTTGGGCTCCAGCAGTCACAACAGAGTTACTTGAACAAAGGACGACCGCTCTTCTGTTCATTGTTTCTGCTTGCTGCTGATAGCCTGGATTCAGGGAGAAGCAGTAAACAGCCAGCCTCCGCTGCCCCCCTGTTAACCTGAAGGGCCCAGGGCAGTGCTAAGGTCCCTATCGAGCCAGACACCAGCTCGCAGTGGTGAAAGACACCAGCTAGCAATGAAGTGCCCAGGGTTTGAAGGCTGGTGGGAGGAGACCCTGGTTTTAGCCCTCACCAGTGGATGTGGAACGAGCGAACTTTGGGTCCCAGTCCTTACTTCGCCCTTGACTCTCTCCTGTCTTTTCTATCACCCCATTTCCATCCCGATAACGGCTCCAAAAACAGAATTCCGAAGCGTCTCAGACTTACTTCGTCACCCATCCACATGCCTCTCATTTTGTGATGAGCTGCTCACTACCCCACAGGGAGCACGTTGCCCTGGATTCCTGCCCCTGCTGACATCCGTCCAGTGTGCTAATGCTGCTTCCAAGTCATTATCTCACCGGTGGAGGGAGCAAGCACCACCCAGCAGGAGTGAGAGACTCCTGCCCCACTGGTAGGAATCAGACATCAGGCCTGTAGATGAGTCCTTCCCACTGGTAACTAGCAAGAAGGCAGCAAGCTTTGGGATCAGACCCAACCCCCAGCCCCCTGTTCTTCATAGGATATGGAAACCTTCTCTCACTGCTCATATTAATGAAACCTAATTTAGTGCAAAGCCAGGTCACTCCACTTATGCTTTCAAATACTGGCCTTCTACATAATTGAAGACATTCACTGGGGTCCCCCTCCCCAGGGCCTTTCTCACTGTTTGAAGCCCTCAGACCCCATCGGGGGGCTGGAAAAGTGTGGGTTAGGACTGGCCAGGTCACGGGTGTTGCACGTGGTCTTTCACATTGCAAAGCTTCTCCATATCCTTTGTCGTTTCCCGTCCTCCAGAGCTAATAAAAGTGCTCAACTTCCATCAAAAATTTAATAATCATATTGAGTATGTTTAGACAGGAGGAGCCAGAAACATTAAAATACCCCCGTCCCCCAACACACACCCCTTCTCCAGCCAAGCCCTGCTCGGGTTTAGAGTCTTTGCCTCTGAATAGCAGTCATCCATCACCTGGGAATTGGTACTAAGCATGGAAACTTCAGGGGATCCAGAAGGGATTAACAGTAACTGACTACACGGTTCCCAGGGTGAAGTTGTTGCAGAAAATCACTGGCCCCTCCCAATGGAGCCAAAACAAAGCAAAAAGCAAAAAAAAAAAAAAAAAGCAGGCACATATCAGTTGCCAAAGCGCTGTGTTCTCACTTAAAGGAGACAGGAAAACGCTTCCACGAAAAGAACACACGCTGCAGAAGCGGGCGGCTCTTTCCCTTAGGGCTCCAATGGCTCCAGGCTCGCACATGGCTGCGGAGAGGCGCAGAGAGCTCTGCTGCCCCCTGCCGGCCGGAACGCACGCCCACGCCAGCCTGTCTGCTCTGGCCGCTTCCTCATCCAGAGAGTTATGCAACACCAGACGGCAAGCAAATCAGGTTCCACCGGAGGAAATCACTGCCCTCTCGGCGCCTCGATTGCACGCGGGATAAGAGGGAGGGAGGGCAAGGAGATAGCCAGTGCCTGCCCAGCAGTGGAGGCGCTGGGCCAGAGAATGGGTTTAGTTTGTGCAGGGACCAGAGACAGTAAGGAGTATCCTTCCGGTTTCAAAGACAGGAACCCCGAGAGGCTCAGGGGAGACTGGGTACACGGCGCTGAAGGACAGGGCTGGTGAGGGACTGGGCCGGGTTTTTGTTGTTGTTGTCAGTTTTTTTAATTTTAAAGAGAAAAAAGATAAACACAACAGTGAAACCGGGTTTCAAAACAGGTTAGTAGGACAGTTACAATAGCTGACACATTCCGTAGTTGTTACTCAGAGTGTAAGACAGGTATCTTGTCCACACAGTATTAGCCCAAAACTTTCTTTTCAACGAACTAGGATAAAGTACCTGTATAGCTATCTTGTGTGTACATATCTTTTTTATTTTTCCCATCCTTTCTTTCCCCTTTACCCCTGCACAGTTTGTCTTTTCCGATTTCTGCACCTGCCCAGATTTCTGCACCTGGTTCTACCACTGCTGAGCTGTGGAAAGTGGCCCGCGGTGGCTGATGCGTGTTATGTCTGCGTGCCGTTTGTTTGCAGAACGAGAGATTGGTTGAGGGGAGCGCTAAGGTTCTTTGCCTCTCACTTTCTTAGTCAAGTTTTTTTCTATTTGCTGGTGTGTAGCGATAGGCCACTGGTAAGGTCCCCTGGTGGGACTATGGGAATCTTAAGAAGCAGAGATACTGGGGCTCAATGCTCATTTTCACCATGCAGCCTCCGTTTTTATCTCCTTTGAAATTATGTAAAGGCTTAGTGCTGTGTTTTTGGAGCTAACCTTCAAATTTTAGGAAACCTGACCATTGGTACAATGAACTGAATAACTGGCCTTTCTTGCCAAAATGCATGGTGATTGTTTCACAAAAAGGAATATTTTAAGCGGATATATTCACCCTGTGCTCACCAGGGTCCAAAAGAGTTTTGTGTCTCCACGGTACATCCAGGGTTTCTTACAGAAAGAGCTGATTTTAGGCAAACTTGCTCACAGCCTGAGCCAGTCCTCCAAGAGTTTCGGTTCAGTTCTTTGCTGATGCAAAGAGGTGGACATTTCACTCTTGTCTAGTCTCTATAACGATTTATGACATTTTTTGATTGCATTGAAGTCTTCAACCCATACTATATTTTAAGGAATTGTCCTCCATGGTACTAACAAAGAATCTCTGCCTTGCAGACAATTTAATGGGGGATTTCCAAATTCCAAAATCCAGAAAGTGAATGCACCTTGGAGCTTATGTGCTCTCATTGGCTTATTTGGTGGATGATGATCTGAGGTACTTGTCTAAACAAGCACAGATGTCTGGAAAAAATAAATAGATGACTGTGCGTCTCTCCCCAGACATTGGATGCACCTTTCATACGCTGGCAGGAAGCCACAAGGAAAGCTGAGGCAGCACAGAGAGTCGGAGCAGCTACCAGAAAGTTAGGACTCAGCCTTTGAATCATACGCACTGGCAAAAAAAGAAGGCAGGTCTGGTGCCAAAAATACACTAGCACCTTTCTGAGAACTCTCCCTCTGCATTCACATGACGCCTGGAGAGCTTCTAAGGTCTCATGAAAATATTGCACTTTAAAATAGCTAAGGAGGTCCAAAGGATGTCCACCTCTGAAGTGATAATCAAATGCCATCAGACCTCCTTAGTCAGAGGTGGCCGAGTGACAGTCTCAGGCCATATCTGGCAGGGCTTCCAGACTTATAGCACATGCCAGGTGTAATTGAATGTGAGTTTAATAAACAGTGATGGACCACTGACAGTCTGTGATGCTGTTAAGACAAGGCTTGCCAGCTGTTGTGGGAATAGTGAGATACTGGGAGGCCCAGCTGCATGCCCCAAATGTGGTCATCTTGGC